TACAGTACAGAGACTTTGAATAAAGTGCAACTTGACTAGAAGACCAAAGACGGAAACTCAAGAAGACATGAAGGTTATTTGAAGAAATTCAGATGCTTTTTAAGTTCTAGAAATTATTCATGTACTTGGAGAGTTGCCGGTTAGCATAGGTACTACATTTGTTCTGCATCACTTCAAAGCACATATGAACTCTGGTGAAGTTAAAGGGAGGTATGTTCTGATTACTTAACATATCAAGAACTGCTCCCTAGTAGAGTTAGTAGAGTTGTCTGAAAGTAAGAAAGACCTTCTTGAGTCACAACTGAATTTTCTACTTGTTGGACACAAAATCTCAGTTGTTTTAGAAGGATGGCGGTAAAGCAGATAGATAATGTTGTGTCCTCTCCTCCGTACTTTAATTTTTTCCTTTCTATAATGGGAAAGGAAGCTAAGTTGACATATGGACATATGAACCCTGGTCTAGTGGGTACCTTTCTTGGACCAGAGGGAGTAAGGTGGGAGAAGAATGTTGACTCCTTGATATCTCAGCAGTATTGGCAAAGAGTTGAGTGGAGACCAGTGCAGAAATCTTTATTTAGCATGTCTTTTATAATATATGGGCCTAAGAAACAGACACAAGGAAAAATTGTCAGTGGGATGGTCCTTACTAATAGGCCAAAGAGCACTTGAGTAAAGTAAGAAAGCTGTGAAAATGCATGATACATTTACTTTAAATGTATATTCTTTAAGTAAGAATATACCTAATAGTATTCTTAATTCCAAATATGAATTGCAACAAAAAAAACCTTTGTACAGTATGTTATAGACATAAGTTATTCAAGAACTTCAAAATGTAGAATCACGCTTCTGTGAAGATGGTGTTTTAGCTTGTTGGATGTGTAGAATTTCTAGTGTAAAATAGGTTATCTTTTGGCAGTGGGATGACTAAATAGCAAGGTAAATAGATATGCTTTGTAAATGTATACTATTTAAAATTGATACAGATGCGCACATGTAGCTATAATGTGTATGTAAAAAAGAAAAAATTTTACCTGCTTCTGTTAAAAAACAAAATGTGAAGAGAAACTTCTCATCCACTCTACTCCATTCCATAGTTTATTGTCTCAAGATATAGTTAAATCACTTTTTTAGAGATAAGAAATTGAAGTTGTCTGGTCAAAATGTTTTTAAATGTTTTTTATTTCTTAGGTAGAGAAGATTATCTGTAATTTAAAACCAGCTTTAAAGCTTCGTCTTCGATTCATCACACACATTAGCAAGATGGAGCCAACTGCAGTACCTGCACAGGCTACTAACAGCGGGTCCCCAGCATCTCAGTCCAGTCAGGTGCCAGTGACCTTGCCAGTAACCCAGTGACCTTACCAGAAACCCAGTGAGGTCAAGGTGGCAAAAGTGGAATTACCTCATCTTCAAAAGAGGGTTACAACTACTAAATCTGAATATCATCATGCCACTTGGTGATAAGTAGTGGGAATGGTGTTCAGATTGTTTGATTTTGATTCAAATGTTGAATCTATTGATACCTACTCCCATCTCCCTATTATATTTTGTCTCTAAGAGATCATATCCTTAGCAATTTGTTAAAACTACCTAGGAACATGGAGGTTAATGATCAAATGACTTTTTACCAGACACTGTCAGTCTATCCTACTCTAGCCATTGGTTTTGGTTTTATTTTTTATTATTAATGACATATTCAATCTACAAATAAATTGTTTATACTACATGTGTAAAATAGTTATTACAAGTTCTTTTATACATAAATCACTTTGGTACATCTTTCAAATTAAGAGATTTTTGTCAAGTAAAGTATTCTAGATTGCATTGCAGGAGCAAACATAGTTGTATATTTTAAAAATGGCTTAAAGTTTTTATCATAGACTTCCAAGTAAATTGATTAATATTTCTATCAAGATAGAGTGACAAATGATTGCCTTTACAGTGGTTTTGAACTTACTATATGAAATGAGTCAGAAGCCATGTAAAAAAATAGCATAGCTGGAAATGCATACGCTTAATAAAATCATGCTTAAATGGCAATTATTCATTCTGTTTTAAAAGTAAATTGATTGCTTTTCAGTTTGAAACTATTACCTGGCAGATGATGAATCATTCCTTGAATTTTCGTGATCTTAAATCTTTTAAATATTTATATTTTTAAGTATAAGTATACATTTTGGTTCTTTGGAATTTACTAGGTTTTGAGAGACATGCTGTTAATTTGAAAGGAAGATGGTATTAAAATTGTAAAATATTTGAAAAGTAATTAGTAAAATCTATTGAATGAGTAACCTGTCTGATTATTGAATTTGAATGGGGGTGTGTGTGCCAGGCAATGTGCAGACTGGGTTGTAACAGAACTGAGGTGTTTCTGTGAGTTGTATGTGACTATTCATGACCGCCATTGACTGGGAAGTAAAGAGTTACTGAAACTTTTTAAAAAGCACTTTATATAATAGTTCTGATTTTTATTTCCAAATACTGTTGTCTTCACGGTTCATATTTTTATGATTTTTCTAATCAATTCTTATAAACATATCTTTGCTATATAAGTCCAATTTTAAATTTTTTTTAATGGTGTAATTTTTCTAAGCTAATAACATTCTTAAAATTCTCCAGAAATTTTACGCTATCATTTCAGATATCCAAAGCATAGTCTCAGTATATTACTGCTTCCTCAAAAAATACATTCTTTGATATCCTAAAATTGAAGTAACTGTGATAGTAATATTATACAAACTATAGAAGTAAAAATCCATGTTACCAGATTCTCAAGTACATTAAAAAATTCAGTTTGTCTTCTTCTCTAGCTTAAAAAGAATATGATTTCCCCAAGTAGCCTTTTAAAAGAATTATTATTTTTAATCAGAGACATTAATAAAAGACAAACTTTATTTGGGGTTAAAATATAGCTGAGGAAAAAAATGCCTTGATAACTATAACATCCCCAGTTTTTCTTCTAACAAATAGAGATCAGCTCTGCCTTTTATATTGCCATCCTGAACAATAGAAAGCTTTATGTGCCTACTGAGAAATTAGAAATGTAGAACTAAGCTTAATTATACTAAACTTGAATTAAACAGCCATATATGTAACTACTGTACTGGACAATGAATTCTAGAGTAAGAGTTACCATAATTCCTCTTTTCTAAAATATTTATCTTACAAAGTCCGTAGCGTCAACAGTTAGATACTCATGGTTTGCATGTGAAGATTCATATGGTTAAGGCTTTTTTGTTGTTGTTAAGACTTATTCATACAGAACTTGGGTACTGGCCAGAAGTGCAGGGGCAGAGAAAGGATTCACTAGAAATAGAGTGGGGAGCACAGGCAGATGGAATGAAGTACACTGCTGAGAGGAGCAGCGGGCGAGACAGGAGAGGTCTGCTGTGCCTTGTGGTCACCTCCTGGGCTGGGAATTGAACTCACACTGAAGAGTCTGCGGCTAGCTTGCAGTGCTGCATCCTAACCTGTTGCTCCACCAGGGAGGGCCCCATGGTCAAGGCTTTTTAACTTGAATGTTACGACATCGCCAGCACTAAAATCCTTTCTTGGCACCCTATTCATCATAGAGTCTACTTAGGTTCTTGGGGAAAAGAACAAGAGTTTGCTTCTCTTCTTTTGTTTATAGTTTGTTTTTTCTACATTACTCATTATATCCCCAAATATACATTAACTTTTGTTCTGCATTACTTATTATATCCCAAAGCCCACATTGCCTTTTTTTAGGAAATTTTAAGGGATTTTAGCTAATACAGCATACCTGCAGTTGCAATGAGAAACAGCTTGGTTTTGATTTTCTGTCTTCAAAAATGTTACCTAGATAGTAACCATACTTATATCAACAGGTGTTGAAATTTAAAATAAGTTGAACATAGTTATCTAACACTAATAAACTTGGAGATGCCCAAGCCTTAATGATTATTCATTTTAGGTAAATCACACCCAGAGAGTTTAAAGTAAGCTTCACTAAGGACAATGTTTTAGAGGTGATCTCACTGTGAGTTTTAAAATATAGTGGATCTCGGCCCTCCCTGGTGGCGCAGCGGGTTAAAGCACAGCACTGAGAATCTAAAGCTGCTTCCGCACAAGTTCGATCCCCGCCTGCCTCGGAGGTGACCACATGGCG